GTTTAGGAGGCTTAGAAATTCCAGGGCTAGCGCCCCAATCAGTAGCTTCTCCAGAATTTTGCAAGTGCTGTTTGCTCCCCCTCCCTACCCATCTCATTAATACCTCGCACTCTTTAGTTCTCAGCTTGGCTATCTGGTCCTGGAGGAGGAGCTCCCTAACCCCTGTATGCCTTAGATGGAACATGCTAGATCCTGAACTCATGGAAGGTCTTATCACATTGTTGAGATTGACTGTCTGCAGATTGAATGCTTGGAGGACAAGGCAGGGTCTTTATCACCAGCACCCAGCACAGTACCAGGCACACAGTAGGCACTTTATGCATATTCACTGAATGAATGAATGGGTGAGACTGATGGATTTCGAATGACTTGAACTTGAGCCTGTTTTTCCTCCTAGAAGTTAGCTGGCAATGTAGCTGTGAAGGTGGCAGGAGATAGGTGGGAAATGCGAGGTTAGTAAGAGGAATTGGTAGAAAAATGGTAGTCATGATTTATGCTGAGGAGAGAAAAGCAAAGGAAAGTAGATACTGCACCTGAAATACTTAGCAATGTTTGGTGCATAATAGGTGCGCCATAAATATAAGATGATGTCATCATCCTCATCCTCATCATTACTATTATTTATATTATAAGAATGCACATTTCCTGAGTTAGAAGGTCCACATAGGATGGCTTGAAATATTCCTCTGGGCTGGGTGCGGTGGCTCACACCTGTCATCCCAGTACTTTGGGAGGCTGAAGCAGGAGGATCGCTGGAGCCCAGGAGTTCAAGACCAGTCTAAGCAACATAGCAAGACTCTGTCTCTACAAATAATTTTAAAAATAGCTGGGTGTTGTGGTGTGCATCTGTAGTCCCAGTTACTCGGGAGGCTGAGGTGGGAGGATCACCTGATCCCTGGAGATCGAGGCTGCAGTGAGCCGGGATCATGTCACTGACCTTGTCTGGGCGACAGAGCTATTATCTATCTTTAAAAAAAAAAAAAAAAAAAAAAGACAGAAAAAAGAAATTTTCTTCCAAGTGAAAATGGAGAGGTGTAATCTCCACAGGTCACCTGGGCCAGATGTCTGGGCAGGAGGTCATGTTGCGGTGACTCACTCGGGGATGCTGGGCTTGGGTCATCCTCTGAGTCAAATTTCCCTTCTGTGCAAGGAAGGGCCTGAGACAGGGACCTGTGAGTCTGACACTCTCTACACAGCTGAGAAGGCAATTCAGCTGAAGTCCTCATTGCAACTATTGTCGTTCAGCCTGAGGCAGTCAGTCCTTCGGTCTGAGGCAGCCTGTCCCCCGCCTTCCGCTGCCCTCCACCCTGCTCCAGTCCTGCTAGGAGAGAACAGCAACAAGTCCCCCTTTCAGAAATGCACTCCTTTACAAGCCTGGCTGCGACCTGTTCCTGATTGATTGGCGCCGTCCAGTGGCAGAATATGGGAATGACATGCAGGGCTGGGGTGAGGGGTCAGGCAAGGATGAGGATGGAGTGAGCAGGTGGGGGGATCTGCAGAGAGGGCCCTAGTGTGGCCCAGTTGGAAGCGGTGACAGGAAGAACCCAGCAGGGATTCCTCATCTCTGGCCAAGGGGTTGTTCTCTCCCGCTGGCATAGCATCCGGAAGGTCCATAGCAGCGGAACCTCCCCCTGGGCTCTGCCCAGAATGCCTTTCTTTGGCTGTGTGACCCCACCCTGTTTCTGAGCTTCTCTGTGAACTTCTCCAAGCTTGGCTTGTAAGAAGGGAGTGGATGATGCCCACCTGACAGCAGGGTTTCCTTCCCAGAGAGGTGCCTCAATCCTCCAGAGAACGTGGGAGAGGCTGGGATTTGAAAGAATTGGAGCTGGGGGACAGGGGCTGTCTGAGATGGAAAGGTTATAGGAGGGGCTTGGGCCCTGAAGATATTTCATCTTGTAATCTGAAAATATTAAAAAACCACCACAGCCCCCAGCTGAGGACAGAGGACCAGGCCCCCCGAGGGGAAAGAACATGGCCAGGGGATTGCAGGACTGGAAACTTCCACTCTTATCTTGGTCTTTTAGAATTGTGAAAATTAGAATGCTCAGCATCGTACAATTGGAATCTTAACAGGAAACACTATATAGTGTATGTATGTATGTATATGTGTGTGTGTGTGTGTGTATATATATATATATATTTATTTATATATGGGCTGGACATGGTGGCTCATGCCTGTAATCCCAGCACTTTGGGAGGCTGAGGTGGGAAGATCATTTGAGGCCAGGAGTTCAAAACCAGCCTGGGCAACATATCGAGACCCCATCTCTACAAAAAAATTAAAAATTAGCTGGGTGTGGTGGTGTTCGCCTGTAGTCCCAGCTACTTGGGAGGCTGACGCAGGAGGCTTGCTTGAGGCCAGGAGTTTGAGGCTACAGTGAGTTGTGATTGCACCACTGCACTCCAACCTGGGTGACAGACCAAGATCCTGCCTCGAAATAAAAATAAAAATTAAAAAATACATATACATACACACACACATACACACTAAACTCTATAGCATCAGATCGTTGAGCCTTGAGGTCAGAATCAGAATTGCAGGCACAAATCTAGACTCAGCTCTCTGAGCTGGAAGTCATCTGAGAGCCACTTCTCCCCTCAGCTTGTCCTTGAATGAATGTTTGCTCCTAAACGTGTTCGCAATGAATAGATCTGGGGGAGGGCCCTAAAATCTGAATTTCCAAAAAGCTCTCCAGGGGATGCTGTTGCTGGGTCTTCCAGATTTTGGCAACAGATTCAATTTAATCATGCTTCCTCTTCAACACATGGGGAAACTGAGGCCCGGGAAGTGGAAGTGACTTGACCTAGACCCTACCAGATAGCTGGTGACAGGCTGGAGCTCCCAACTGTGCCTCCCAATGCCAAGGCCACTCTCACTAGCAGCCCAGGGTGTTTAGATGGCCCCGTGGGACTGTCAACCTCCTAGGTGCCCCTGGTCCCTGAGACATGTGGCTCGTGAGACTGCGAGGTTCTGGGGCTCGAGGTGTTACCCTCTTCTGCCTCTGGCTGAACCTGCTTCTTGAGAGTGGCCTGGAGGGGCTAAGGGCCCGTCCTCTTTTGTCAGCTCCCCCCAAGCTGAAACCCCACCCCATCCCCAATACACCCTGACCCCTCTCAGCCCCAAGCATTCCTGCGAAAACCACTGCACATGTTTTAAATTCTGCTACTCCAAACTCATCAGTATCATGGTTTTGCAACACTCTCTTGATGCTCAAGAAGCATTTGCAAATTTCTTTTCCCTTTATTAAAAAAATTTTAAAAAAATGTTAGGGTCTTGAAACAATAACAACAGAGCATTTCAGAGGCACAAACTGTTGCAGAAGAGAAGCCGGTGGCCTGGCCAGGCGAAGGAGGGGCTCTAACTGTTCTCAGGGAGGTGAGAGGAGGGAAGTCACAGAGAGGGTGGGCCTGGGGAGGGTCAGCCAGGGGCTCCCCAGCTGCCAGGTGGAGGGCAGGTCTGAGGGTGGGTGCTCTCTTGGGGTAGGGGATGTAATATTTAGCCACCTAGAGCCTCTCCCCCAGCCTGCTGACCACCTTCCTTCCCCAGGCCACTCCTGGGCCCCTTGGAGCTCCGACTCTGGCTTCTCCTGCCCATTCCTGTCCCAGCCACAGAGCCCTATGTGTTCAGGCCAGCCAGTCACAGCAAATACAAATCCCCTTTCTGAAGATTCCGGGCAGCAGAGCAGGAAGGGGGTGTTATGATGGCAGAGGGACAGGCAGGGAGGACAGACTTGCTTCCAAGCTGGGTCTGACCTGGAGACTCCTCCCAGCGTCGTTCCTGACTAGGGCGAGGGGCATCACAGTGAAGCACAGATGCTCAAGTCACTGGTGATGGGTGCGGGCGAGTGCGGTGGTGGGTGTGGGCGACTGCGGTGGTGGTGGTGGGTATGGGTGAGTGCGCGGATTTTGCCTTGCTCCCAACCCACAATTTCCTATATTCCCCCCTCAAATGACCTCCAAAGTCTCCTCTCGGCCGTGAATGTGCTGAGCAGAGCCGTCAAGTAGAAGCAGAGCCTGAAGGCTTCCTGTGTGACCCTGGGCAAGCCCCTTCCTTCTCAGGCCTGTTTCCCCATATGGGCAGGAGGCGCTGAAGTGGGGAACGGAGCTGCTGGATAATCTCAGCTTTCCTTTCCATTTCAATGACCTCTTCTGGGCTGGGCAGGTGGGTCCCCCAGCAGTGACAGTTCACCTGATCCAGCTTGGGAAAAAGGGGCATGGGACCCATGAGAGGGAGGCTTGTGGGGGAGTGCTGATGAGGGTGGCAGGCAGCGTGCAGAGGATGACCTGGCTGGCCCAGGGCTGGCAGCCCAGCCAGAGGCCAGGTCGTGGCCCCCATGGCCAGCTGGGGGAAGTGTCCAGGCCAGGCCTCTGGAAGCCCTGGAGCCTTGCCCAGCCAGTTCCTCGGGGTGGCTGGTGGCTGAGGGCTGTGGAAACTGTCCAGAGAACCAGGTGCTCACAGCTCAGGGTCCTGGAGCCTCCCCCAGAGCAGAAGCAAGGCCCTCTGGACTCACCCTTGCTGTGCCCCAGCTTTGCCCTCTGGAAACCCTTTCTCTGCAAAGATGGGGTCAGGGAAAGTCCTGGGAAAAGATGTTTGCTTTCTTTAAGTTGTAGTTAGAGAGAGCTGCAGGGGAGGGCACAGGCTCATGGTCCCTCTTAAAGTATGTGTGAGAGGGAGAGAAGAGGAGGGAGAGAGAGAAGGACGTGGTGAAGGACAGGAAGAAACACAGGAAGAAAAAGAAAGATAAAAGATAAGTGAGAAAGAAGAGGAAAGAAGGGAAGGAGGGAGGGAGAAAGGAGAGGAGAATGGAGGTGGAAGAAATAAAGTAAATAAAAAAGAAAAAGAAAGAGAAGGTAGATTGACAGAAAAATGATAGAAGGGTGGAAAGAAAGAGAGGACAAATGGAGAAGACGGACGAGGAAGGGTAAGAGGAGAGGAGGAGGAGCAGGAGGAGGTGTACAGGGGCTGAGGACTAGGACCAGAGAGCCGGGAGAGCCGGCGGTCAGGGCTGCAGGCCGGGCTGGCGCGGCCTCACGTCCAGCCTGCGGTCCAGCTTCCTGTCCTTGCGTGGGCGCCGGTCCTTCCTGCCCTTCTTCTGGCCGGAGGTCCTCTCTGCAACGAGAGCACAGGGCCCGGTGACCAAGGCTGCAGGGCCAGTTAGGTCCTGGGAGCCTCCTCAGTCCTCAAAGACAAGGGTGCCCCACCCACTCCTCAACAACGAGGCTCAGAAGAACATTTAGGCACTGACCTTGCAGTCCCTCCTGTTGACAGTTTGGACCGCGGGCTAAGTTACCCCAAACTGAACCTTTCTCTCTAGTTCTTCAGGGAGTGCTGAGGGTCACTAACTTGCTCAGGGCCCTTTTGTGCTGGAGATCTGGCTTGGCCAGGCCTGCAGGTTCACCTGGGGCCCCCCAGTCAGCACGTAGGGTGGCCTCATGGGAGTCCCATGACTTTCCCCGGCACACTCCTTCCATAGCCAAGCAGGCTCTGTGCTGGACACTGGGCACCTTTCATCTGTGTCCCTGCACCAACTTCTCCATGACACTGTGGCAACAATACTGGAGCATTTAGCAAGTGCTCACTGTATGCAGGTCACAGCCCCAAGTGCTTTATGTGTATGAAACTCACAACAGCTGGGAGAGGCAGGTAGGGTCTGAGCCGCACTCAGTCCCGTCTTCTACAATTGTCCTCTCTTTCTCTCCACCCTTCTATCATTTTTCTGTGCCAGTCTACCTTTCCTTTGTTTTTCTTCTTTATTTCCTTTATTCCTTCCACCTCCATTCTGCCTGTGCCTGCTGCCCGGGGAGTTCTTCTGAGCAGTTGCTTGTCATTGTTATTGACAGGTGAGAAGACCGCAGCATGGTTGGGAGCAAGGTCAGCCCTAAGTTTCTGCTTTACAAAGTGTCTCCACACCCAAGACATTCTTCTACATTGCTTGGGCCCCCTTCAGTTCCCCGCAAGGAGCTGTGTGTCCATTTGAACACGATGAACCTGAGGCTCCACAAGTCACTTTCTGAAGGTGTGCAGCTAGGCCGCTAGAGACCCTCCCAGCCTAGTGGCAAGGGAAGGGCAGTTTTATTCCTTAGGTGTCAACTGTGTACCTGTCTCCCCAAGAGTCAGGACTGTGGCTCCAGTCCTGGCTCCTTCCTCTGCAGAGCAGAGTCAAGGAGCTAAGGCCAGGCTGCCCACTTTTGGGACTCCCCATGCCCACTCTGAGCCCTTGGGGAGCACTGAAGCCAACTCCCACTCTGCGCTGCGGAGCTGACTCTGCAGGCCTCAGGTAGGACTGCATCTGGAGATGGGGTGTGGGTACTGCCTGAGTGGCCCTGCCAGCTCTGATGTGGGGGTGTGGGGGCCAGTGGCTTTGTGTCCCTACCCCTTCCCTAGGCCTGCCTGACAGCTGCTCATGTGCCCATACAGTCACCCACCCATCCCTCCACTTATTTACCCACCTACCCGATTGCCGTCCACTGAATTGCCGTCCACCTGTTAACTCATCTGCTTACCTCCATACCCACCTCCATACCCAATGACCCATCCATCCACCTAGGCACCCACCCATCACCCATCCATCCACCTGTTCACCTACCGACCTACCTACCCACCCACCTAATCATCCACCTACCTACTCATCCACCCACCTACCCTCCCATCTACCCTCCTATCCACCCATCTACCTACCCACTCAGCCACCTGTGCACTCAGCCATCTACCCTCCCACCCACCCATCCATCCACTCATCCAACAAGTATTAACTGGACACCGACTATGTGCCAGACTCTGTTAGAGGCACTAGATAGACAGTTGTGAATAAGGCAGACAAAGCCCTTGCCCTCACTGGAGATCACACTCTAGGAAGGAAAACAAACACTGAACAAAGCAAACACGAGAATGAGCAGGCTCGTTTCAGAAGGGTGCAAGTGCTACCATGTGATACGATGGAAAATGACTCCTGGGAGGGGGACTCATGGGAAGCCTCTCTGAGGAGGAGCCGCTGCAGCCGAGACCCGGATGATGCAGAGAGCTACAGTGGGGTTGTTGCAAGGATTAGAGTCACGTCTTACAGCACTGAGCACAGCCAGCACATAGTAGGTGCTTTACAAATGTTTGCTGTTGTTGCGATTATTATTATCCGGGGGAAGAGTTTTCCCCTCATGACCCCCCCACAGCCATTCACCCCCAGCTCTTGGAGCCATGAGAGGTGCGATGTGGTAATGAGTGCAGGAGAACTGTCTGCCTCCTGTGTGAGTGCTTCCCTGGCTCTGGGGTCCCTTAGGTTCTCTGGTTCCATCTCAACCTCACTCCGTCCTCACCTGCCCAGTATGACTCCCAAAGGCTCCCATCTCTGCTATCTGCACTCCCAACCCAAACAGCACAAGTCCTTCTGAAAGAGGAGTGTCCCTGAGTTCAAATCCTGGCTCCACTACATCCCACCTGGGTGCCCCGGGTGGCCTGGCTCCAGGTCCCTCATCCTTCATCATGACTTTAGATTCCTGTTTGCATGACGAGTTATGTTTGAATTCTAGGTCCACAGCTCCCGGGCTTTGTGACCCTTAGGTGAATGACTCAACCTCTCTGGGCCTCAGTCCCCTCATCTGTAAAATGGGGATAATGTTAGTAACACCTACCGCACAGCATCATTATGAAGATTACATGAGTTAACGATTATAGAGAATTCGGCACAGTGCCCAGTCAACACTGCCAATTCCGCGTAATTACTGCTCACCATTCACATCTTGCCAGACACACCTTGTAGCCTCTCTTCTATGTAAATCAGTGGTCCTTAATAGCTCCCAGACATTTTGGAAATACATGTAGTGGTCTTGGATGCCACAGTGAAGGGGGTTCCTGTGGCATTCAGTGGACGGCAATCGGGATGCAGTGTGGGACAGTCCCCCGCAAAGACGAGTTGTCCCCCATTCCATCCAGTTCTCTCACACCGTGCCCCACCCTCATGTAGCTGAAAAGTCTGCTTGCTGGGAGCTGAATTCTGTTTTACTCATGACTGCCAAGTGATTTCGAACACTTGCATTCACTGAAGACTCTAGAGCACTGCGAGTGTGGTGTCAATCAGAGATCAATTTGGTTGGACCTTACTAACAGTTGGTCACTTTTGGGAAATCGCATCTCTGATGGCAATGCGGCCACGCACTTGGGGCGCTGACCACGGCTGCGGTCTTCGCTGGGATTATGCTTCCCTAAGTGTCTGCTGGTATGTTGGGCCAAGCGCTTTCATGAAATTTCTTTTCTTTCTCCTCTATATTACAGTTAGGGCACTATACCGATAAAAAAATTTACCTTTGCAAGTAGGCTACATTCTCCATGAACTTCATTAAGAATGGTATAGAAGGTATTCCCAAATCCTTCTTATTAAAAGGGGGGTGTTCAGTTTGAGAGGGTTGGGAACTCCTGGCCAGTTCAATTTCCCTAATGTATTTGGGACTGAACCCAGCAAGGAAGGTCCTCCTTTGAAAGGACACCAGGGAAGACGATGTGTACTCCGCATGATGGCATGGCTAATGGTGGCCTTTCAGGCAGTCTCATAGGTACTATTTGTGGGGCAGTGTCCTGAGTCCACTCTGTCCCTGTGGGCCTTTCCCACCACAGCCTCATGTGCCTGTCCTGGGGCTCACCTCCTGGGCAGGGCCTCTGGATGGGACATTTCCTTGACTCAGAAAGCACCTGGCAGGTGGTTGTCTCCTCATGCCCAGCCCGGCCAGCCTCTCGTACCCGGGTCTCCAGGCCCCAAGCTGAGCCGCAGGTCTTTCCGTTGTACGCGCAGGGGCTCCAGCCGCCCCAGGGACCCGGTTCACACTGCCCTGTGGAGTGAAAGGAGAGACAGACAGACAGGGTCAGCCGGCAGTGAGGGTCCTTCAGTAAGCACAGAATAAGCGCAGGGTTTGAGGGGTTCAGCTCTCTGAAGACTGAAGACACCACTTCCACCTGCTAGGAGCAGAGGGGGGACATTTAAAAGTTATTTATAAGAGCCTGGAATGAGAGCTAAACTAATGCATGCACAGACTAATATGGGCCTGAAGACAGAGTGGCCGACTGCCTAGCTTTAAAGGGGAAGGCTTCCTGGAGGAGGTGATGTATGAGTGAAAGGGAGAGAGGGGAGCTCATCAGGTGAGAAGAAGGAAGCCCATTCCAGGCAAGTATGTAAAGCTGTGGGAGCCTGGCCCACCATGTTTGGGAGATGGGGCAGCATGAGTTGGCAGTGAAGTCTCAGGAAGTGGGGGCAGGAGAGGAGGCTGGAAGGTCACCTGGGAAGTCCTCAGGACCCAGACACAGGTTTTAAACTTGATCATGTGTCTTTAATCAACTTTGGAAGGAGGAAAAAGGAGGCCATGGACATAAAAGTTCTTCATAGGGGGTAATTAAAATACACACATACACACACACACATATATGTGTGTGTGTGTGTGTGTGTGTGTGTATACTTTGATTATTTTAAAAGTCCATGAGAAGTAGGCACAGAATATGAGTAGCTGTGAATACTCCTATTTTATAGATCTGGACACTGAGGCCTAGAGCAGGGATTTGCTAAGGGAACGCAGCAAGAGGCTCACACAGCAGACACAGCAAGTTGAAGACGCAGTGGGGCCCAGACCTTGTTAGATGCACACGTTTGACAAGTAAAGACTGAGCACCCAGTGTGTGCTAGGCGCTATTCTGAGTGCTGAGGGAGCAGCAGCAGACAAGACAGACCAGGGTCTGCAGGCCTCCTGGAATTCACCATCTGGACACCGCCGTGATGAGGGAAGCGCAGGCACTGTGGGAGCCCAGAGGCGGCATGGGTTGGGTTGTAGGGGAGGAAACTCCTGGACTGGGTCTTGAAGTGGGGGTGGGATGGCAGGGAAGGGGAGCCTAGTCAGGCTCAGGGAGGGACAGGAGGTGCTCTGGGTGAAGGCATAACCCCAGCACAGTCCCCAAGATGATTTGGCCCGGAACTGGGCAGGCCAGAGAATGAGCTCAAATGGAGGAGGAAAAAAATGTTGGGGGTGGAAAGACTGGCAGATGGGACAGATTGCCCAGGTCCTGGGTGAACTCCGCCCGAGGGCAGTGGGAGCCACTGAAGGGTCCTGGGAGGAAAAGAAATTGAGCAGACTGTCATTTTGAAATACTCCCTCTGCTGTTGAGTGGAGAGTGAGTTGGAGGGACTGAGAGCTGAGGCAGGAGACGTGCAGGAGCTGTGGCCAGAATCCTGGCAATAGGCAGGGGGTGGTGAGAAGGCGGGAAGAGCGGGGCACAGAGGAGAGAAACAAATGGGTGGGGCTGGGGTGGGGAGAAAGGGATGAGCTGGATGGTGTGGGTTTGGGAGCTTTGTGCTGCTTCATTTTCCCCCCAAAGTTCCTCCTGCCACCCGAAATATTATGCATTTGTTTTCGGGTGTCGCTTCTGTCTCTCCATTGAAATGCCAAGTCCATGAGTGCAGAGGCTTTGTTCTGTTCTCTAACATGTCTCCAGCACCTAGGAAAGTGCCTGGCCTTAGCAGATGCTCCAGTAGATATTTTCAGAGTGAATAAATGAACAGACTGGCCTGAATATAGGGTGAGGGAGAGAGAAGAGTCAACAGTGATGTCTGCATCTCAGGCATGGCCACCCAGGGATCAGGGAGCTGGTTATTGAAACCCAGAGGAAACCCAGAGGAAGCGTTAGGCGGTGGACGGTGGCGGTGGGAGTGGAAAGAAGGAACCCAGGGGGCAGTGGAGGTAAGGGTCTGCTGCTCAGGGAGGCTGGAGACACGGAGTCAGGGGCCATCAGCAGCTGGAATGACCATGAATGTGAGCCCGGAGGGAATGCGTGGGCAGAGATGCACAGTTTAGATGAGAATGCCAAGGAGCAGCCTAGTGCAGGGACAGAAGAGGGCTCACAGGCAGGAGTATGACAAGGAGCTGTCAGGAAATAATCAGAGCAGTAATAACACTGATACTGACATGTACTGAGCATCTACTGTGTGCTGGCTGCTGTACTGAGCACTTTAAATTGCACTAATTCACTTAATCCTCATAACAATTCCTCCCCACGAGGTGGGCTCTATGTTCTATTGTCTTTTTTTTTTTTTTTTTTAACGTTTGGAGAAACTGAAGGACAGAGAGCTGAGGTGGTTTGCTTAAGATCACTAAAGGGTAAGGTTTAGAGTTAGGATTGGACCCCAGGCCCGTCCTTTTCCAAAATCAGTGCTCAGCCAGTGTGGTGGCTCATACCTGTACTCCCAGTGCTTTGGGAGACTGAGGTGGGAAGACTGCTTGAGTCCCAGGGGCAGCCTGGGCAACATAGCAAGAGCCTGTCTTTGCAAAAACATAAATGCATCACCAGCTGTTGTGGTACATGCCTGTGGTCCCAGTTACTCGGGAGGCTGAGGCAGGAGGATTCCCTGAGCCTAAGAGTTTGGGGCTGCAGTGAGCTATGATCATGCCACTGCACTCCAGCTGGGCGACACAGCAAGACCCTATCTCAAACAAAACAAGCAAACAAAGAAACAAACAAAAATCAGTGCTCTTCTTCTGCACTCTGCTGATTTCCTTGGCATTAACAATGATGCCAGTGTTGGCTGCAGTAGTAATCATAGTAATGGTGGTTACGTTGGCTCTAGTGTAACACAGTTACTATGTGTAGGTATCTGGTGTACCTGACACGGTGGTGCTCGGCCTCCCCTAACCATATGGCATTCTACTGGGATTTCTTCCAGGCCCCCAACACCTCTCACCAAGCCCCCACTCCAGGGAGGTGGGGGGCAGGGTCAGGGCGGGGAGGTCACTCACCCTGGCACTCCCGTGTGTTCTGGTGGGCCAAAGTGCCTGGCGGGCAGGTGGGCAGACACTTCCCCTTGTACAAGTAAAATCGCCTCTTGCACCGGATGCAGAAGTCCTGGCTGAAGCAGCTCTCACAAGTGGCCCCACATTCTGTAACAGAGCCAAGGATACCCTGGGTGAGGGAGATTGCCAAGGATGGGGCCCACTGGGTCTGCCCGAGGTGGGAGGGCCTCTGGGTAGTTCCAGGCTTGGTAGCATTTGTGTCAGGACTCAGTATCTCCTTTGAAGCCCAGACTTGGCCAAGGTCAAACTGGGCTGTATGTGAAGAGAACTCCCTTTCTCATTTGAGGGGAGGCTCAGAGAGAGTGAGTGACTTGCTTGAAGTCACCGGTAAATCAGGGCTGGAGTGAGGACTCCCTGTTCTTTTTCACATCAGAAATAGTGATGATTTGCCCAAAGTTACAGCAAAAATTAGAGCCTGGAATTAGGACTCCTTTTCCTATTTGGGCTAGGACCAGAGAAGGTGAGTTACATGACTAAGGCCACACTACAAACTAGGGTAGAAGTGAAAGTTCTCTGCTCTATTAGTGCTACTTAAGGCTGAGAGGGGACAGACTTGCCTTAGGCTGCAGAGCCAGCCTGGACGCAGGCATGTATCTCAGCGTCTGGGCTTAAACATGCATCTACTTCCCTGCTGTCTGTGCTGAGATGAGAGGGCGGGATCTAAGCCCGCGATGTCTAGGAGCCCAGCACTAGCATAGAACAAGGGAGAAGCCACGTACTTTTGCACCTGTTGACCTCCTGGCCGCGGATGCCGAAGTAGCCAGGGGGACAGTCGTGCAGGCACTTGCCGTACTGGCGGATGCCTTCTCGGCGGATGAACAGGAAGAGCCTCTGCTGGCAGGTGGAACAGCCATTCTCCTCTGAGCAGATGATACAGCCCGTGCAGTTGCCCCCCAGGCCAGTGCCCACTGCCCGCCAGACCAGGACAGAAGGAGGGAGAAAGGGAGAGAGAGATGGTCAAACCATATATATGAACAGCTGAGATGGTCTCATTGGGATAGCAACTGGGCACACGGCCACCCAACCAAAAGACTACATTTCCCAGCTTCCCTTACAACTAAATATGGTCATGTGACAAAAATCTGGCCCATCAGATGTAAGGTAAAGTAGCATGTGCCACTTCAAGAAAGCTGCCTTAAAGGGCAGGGGTGTGCCCCTTGTCATCCCCTCATCCTTTCTGTTGGGTAGAATGTGAACAATGACTGGAGCACAAGCAGCCATTTTAGATCATGAGGTGGAAACTGTGTCCTGTGAGGCGGTGGAAAAATCAGATTAAAAACACCTGGGTCCCTGAGGAAGGCAGAACTGCTGTACTAGCCCTAGCCTGCCTGTGCAGACTGTTACATGAGAGAGAAATCAACATCTACCTTGCTTAAATCACTGTTATTTGGAGTTTTCCATTACTCACAAGCAAACTTAATCTTTACCAAAGTAAAGTGTGAGTGTGTGTGGGTGCACATGCATGAGCGGGGTGGGGTGAGACCCTCACCCTCTTGCTGGATTCCTGGACAATACTCAACAATACTCCATTTCTCACTGTCACCATCAGCAAGGGCTCCCACCATCATCAGGAATAGCAATGGGATAAATGTATTTAAGGAGAAAAATTTTTGTTGTCCCAGAATTGGTACTCAGGAGCCAAAGCTGGGGAAAAAGAGGCGGAAAGTGCTCTAGAATCTTAAGTGAGCCTTTCCCAGGCTCATAAGGAGTCTCTGTTACCCTGACCATCACCCCAGGACGCTGATTAAGCTGAACACTTGAGGGAGGAACTCATGGGAATTAGGAATTGACAGCCCGGCCAGGCACAGTGGCCCATGCCTGTAACCCCAGCACTTTGGGAGGCCAAGGTGGGAGGATTGCTTGAGTCCAGGAGTTCGAGACCAGCCTGGGCAATATGGCGAGACCCTGTCTCTACAAGAAAAATACAAAAATTAGCCAGGTATGGTGGCACACACCTGTAGTCCTAGCTACTTGGGAGGCTAAGGTAGGAGGATCACTTGAGCTGGGAAGGCCGCAGTGAGCTGTGTTTGTGCAACTGTACTCGAGTCTGAGAGACAGAATGAAGCCATGTTTCCAAAAAAGAAAAAAATAAAAAGAAGTGAGTTGTGGTGCTGTGACTTTTCCTCTGTTCCCAACCCTCCCAACGAAGTGAGGAGATGCCAGAGTAACTCACAAAGACAAGAGATGCTAGCGAGAAGGTGCCAGCATCTCGTGTCTTGCTTGGACATAAACTCATGTCCATAGTCCTGTGAATCTGCCGCCTTCCCATTCCTCTTTGAGCAGACAAAGGAGACCGGGAGACAGAAGGGCAGAGCTGAGGGGGAGAGTGTGGTAGAAGAGGCTGCACATCCTTCCCAGCACGCGTGAGGGGTTTCTCAGTGGTAAGGGGCACCTTGGGAGTAGCCGGGCTTAGGTGGTATTCCTGCTGCCTGGCACAAGAGGGCTGGTTGCTGGGACGTGCCCCAGCAGTATGAGGCATCAGGGGAGACCACTGGGAGTAGGAGGTGGGGGAGAGTCAGAAAATGACCAGGTGTCATTAAGTGACAGGAAAGGATAGTGCAGCTTTTGAGAGGTGGCAACTGGGGAAACAGTAAATGGTTTCATGCTTATATGTCATTAGGGTCAGACTGGTTAATAATCCAGTTAGCGCCTTGATTCATCTGAGCCCCAAGACCACCCAGCAGGAAACATTCTTAGCTCTCCAGCTCCCAGATGCTCCCCTCTTCCTACTGGTGCCCCATCTCCCTTTTAGAGGAATTCCCCATTGTGCGAGGTCCTGATGGGGAACACATCCCGGCACCTTCCCCCGGAGCAGAAACCAAAAGAGGTCTGGCCCTTCTTTAAGTTGGCAGCAGGTGAGAGCTGGCGAAAGCCTGGCCAGATACACATTCTGGTGACTCCAGTCCTGGGAGTGGGACTCAAGAGTGAGGGCCACACAGAAATGGGGTTCATGGTGGAGGCAGAGCAGGCTCTCTGCCTAGCCCTGGCTGAGGCCTTTCTCTCAGCCTCCCATCCCTCAGTCCCTCTGTTCCGTCCTTCCTGCTCCAGCTCTCGGATGAGCACTGCTACGTCCCCAAACCTCATCTTCCGTTCCTTGGATTCAGGGAGGCCCCATATTTCTGTGGCTTGTAACTCAGGAGCCTGACTGATCCAGGGTACTAACGTGTACCCTGGGATCCTGTTCCCGGCCAAAGTTGGCAATGCCCTCAATTTTCTTGCCCTGGGATGAGAAACTGCAACAGGAAAGCAGAATAAAGATTCTTGTGTTCTGGAGCTGCATACCTGGCAGGCACCTGAGGGCAGAGAGCAAGTGTGATGTTGTAAGGGGGATTCCCAGAGTCAGAGAGATAAGAACATCCACTGAGAATTTAGCAGAGTCCAGACTTCTCACTCAGCAAAAGATTCAGATTCTGATACTACCAAGAGCTGGCAAGAATGAGAGGAAACCTTCACCTTTTCACCTTAGATAAGAGTGTCAACTTTGGGGAAAAATCTAGCAGTACCTAATAAATCTGAAGATGTCTCTTTTCTTTTTTGTGTTAAATTTTTTTTTTTTTTTTTTTTTTTTGATAGGATCTCGCTGTGTCACCCAGGCTCCAGTGCAGTGGCATGATCCTAGCTCACTGCAGCCTCAAACTCCTGGACTCAAGCAATCTTCCTGCCTCAGCCTCCTAAGTAGCTGGGACTACAGGCATGTGCCACCACACCCAGATAATTAAAAAATTTTTTTGTACAGATGATCTCTCTCTGTTTCCCAGGTTGGTCTTGAAATCTGGCCCCAAGTGATCTTCCTGCCTCAGGGTCCCAAAGTGTTGGGATTATAGATGTGAGCCACGACGCCTGGCCTAATGTCTCTTTTCTAAATGTAGCAAATTAGCTTCTGGTGTATACCCTAGAGCAGCAGTTCTCAAACTCTGGTGCACAACAGCAGCTCCTAGAGAGCTTGTTGGAGTATAGGTCACTGCGTTCCACCACTGGTACGTCTGATTCAGTAGGTCTGAGAATTTGTATTTCTAACAGGTTCCCAGGTGATATTGATGCTGCTGGTCCAGGGATCACGCTCTCAGAACCACTGACCTAGAGAAACCCTTGTATATGTGTAGAAAGAGACAAAGATATTTATTGCAGCATTATTTAATAGCAAACAACTGCAAAAAGCTAACGCTCTGCCAAAGGAATAAATACATTGTGGTATATTCATACACTACTGCCAGATACCACATACACAATCCAGCCATGATAAATGACGGAGGTAGCTACAGTTATCATTGTGGACACAGCTCAAAGATGGGGCTGAGAGGAAAAAAGCAAGGTGCGCGGTGAATCATATAGTAAGAGCCATTTATATAAAGTTCAAGGACCTGCAAAGCAATATTTTGTAGCATTTGTTACTTGTAAATATGTATTCAGAGCAGAAGACATGAGACTAACCAACACTGAATTCAGGATCGTGGCACACAAATGTTTATTGTATTATTTTAAATTCTTGACTTTAGGTTTGAAATAGTTCACCCTAAAAATGCATAAAGAACAAAAGAATTTAGCCTCTACTGTGTCCTGGGGCAGGAGGAGGTCTACATTCTTTCTTCTCCTTCTCCACTAGCTCCCCTCCCAAGCCCTGTCCCATCTTCAAGCTGAGGTCTTGAGCAGGGGAAGGTGACAAATTCTGAAGACAGGGGACTTGGGTTCCAACAGCATTGGAGACTCGTGCCTCTGCACACTTTGTTAGTCATCCCCTCGTCCACTCTCCCCTCGTCCTCAGTAGTGGAACCCTGATTTTTATTTTATATTTTGAGGCAAGGTCTTGCTCTGTTCCCCAGGCTGGAGTGCAGTAGCGCGACCTTGGTTCACTGAAGCCTGGACTTCCTGGGCTCAAGCAATCCTCCCTCCTCAGTCTCCCTAGTAGCTAGGACTACAGGTGTGCATCACTATGCCTGGCTAATTTGCATATTTTTTTGGTAGAGAAATGGTTTCGCCATGTTTCCCAGGTTGGTCTCAAACTCCCGGGCTCAAGCAATCCTCCTGTCTGAGGCTCCCAAAGTGCTGGGATTACAGGCCTGAGCCACAGTGCCTGGCCAGAACCCTGATATTAAGCGGAGTTTACGTCCTCTAAGACTACATTTCCCAGGCCCTTTGCAGCTATATGTGGTCATGTGCCTATGCTCTGACCAATGGGATGTGAGCGGGCATGCCCTGCGTAGCCCCTTGGGAAATGCTGGCACTGTTCTCCTCCCATTTTCCCTTCCACCTGCAGGACTGCAGGCTTGAGAGTGGAGCCATGGCAGATCCAGGAGGCAGAGGGATCTTACAGAAAGATAGCTTGGTGTGGCTGTATTAACCCAGGACTGCCCACTGCTGAGATTCTTTCCTGGGGAAGGAAGGAAAGCATTGCCCATTTGTTTAGGTCACTGGGCCTTTCTGACGCACACACTGACTGATGATGTCAGGTCTTCTGCCACGCAAGTCAGCACAGAGTCACATCAGTGGAGACCAAGGTGCCCTGCTCTGTGCCTCGGCACTGTGGAAGCCCACTGGACCTGAGATGCGACCCCACTACCAAAGAGCAAGGGGACCCTCAGTTGACTTGCGGTGATCTCTACCACCTGACAGAATAGGACTTCAAATTACAAATTTTGTTAAATTACAGAAAAACAAAGTAGCATTTCCTGCAAAATGAATCTGTGGACAGAGACTCACACCCTGACATGGTGTTGCCGCCCGTTTTGCAGCTGAGAAAAACCAAGAATCAAGGAGGTGAAACGACATGTCCAGGGTCACACAGAATCGGCAGGGGTGGACCCACATCACTCTACCCCACGCTGCCCTCTTAGAGCATCTGTCCAGGGCCTCCTGTGTCAGGCAGAGCCTGGGGCCATGGGGGTGAGCCACACATGGCCCCTACCCCTAT